TACCAGTACTAGTTCGTCGAGTGTCTTCTACAGAAATTTCAGAATGAGCGAAAACGAAATATCAAAACGATCTTCTATATACAATGGTAGGTAATACGTAAAGTTATGTTTGGAACACCAATGTTTTTTTTTTATTATACAGTTGCAGATGAAAACTCTTTGTCAGTGACGACGTACAGCTCTTCTTCTCGGGCATCCCACAGTTATCAGACCAGCTTAAACCACCCTTGCCAAGGCTCACACAGTCAAAAATGTCGAGATCCTGGTATTACAGATGAGAGCAGCGTGACCTACAGTTCGTATTCTAGAAAACCCCTCCGTTGTCGAACCAACTGCACCCATCTTCACAGTCGTACATGTCATGGAACTATAGACCAGAGCAGTCTAGGTATTTCATCGCATCTTTCGACCTACATTTCCTCTTCCCGGTCACCCTCCCAATGTCAGACCAACTGCTGCCGCTCTCGCAGTCGTTCAAATCGAGGCTCTAATAAAACACATCAGAGCAGAGTAAGTGTTTTATTGGATCACCCTTATGCATCCCTTCGAAGATCACGAAAACCAGTCAAAAATGCCAGTACAAGTCCCATGAACCGATCAGTGAAATCAAGTAGAACCATATGGTCAGAATGTTCCTTAGATTACGGAGGTGAGAAACTCTTTTTTTTTTTTTCAATAAACAGAATTTAACAAGTTTTTTTTTCAAAATTTTAGCTGTTTTGCAAAGACGTAAGAGTGTAAGAGACGCAAGCACCAGTCCTATGGATCAAACTTCTAACCGGGAAGTAGGAGATGGCAAATTTTCATTTACGATTCCGTGGCAACAAGCTGGTCTGGACGAAGTTCATTTTTCAGTTCTGGAACGTAGTGGCGAGGCAAAATTTGATTCTCCATTGGATATCAGCACAACACCCTCCTTCTCTAGGGTAGCCACTTCAACCCCTCGAGCGGAACGAAATGAATCCTTCTATGCAATCGATCCGGCTGTTGACCTGTATAACGATGCTGCAAACAAGACTGCAAATTATACTATGGGAAGCATGGAGGAGTCTGCGGCATTGGACCTCCGCACGAAGAAAACTAACATCAGCAAATTGACTGATCCTGATAAATCTGCTACTCATTCTGATATCTTAGAGCATGTTGCTGACAACGTACCGCTTGACTTGTCAAAGGATGCTACAAGTTCTAATATGGCCAAATTGGATAAGAATTCCGTTTTGGATGATTCTGCTACATGGTCAGCTATCTCAGACAGCCTATTATCAGATGATGACCAAGAGAAAAACGATCATTTGTTTTTAAACGATCTAACCATATATGAATATTTCGAAAAATTCAATCAGCTTAGCGATCATGAAGCCAACGTAGAAGATGGTAAGTAAATTTATTTTGCTTTTTTTTCTTAAACCTAGCACTAAATATTTAAATTTAAATTTCCAGTAGAAAATCTATCTTCAAGCAGCACAAAGGATACGTTACCATCAACAGATGGTCATTGCATCGATGTGCTTGATAAGGAAAGACAATTGAAAAAAAAGAAGGAGAGCATTCAAAAACAAAATTTCAGAAGTAGAGAGAAGGGTCTGTCATATGTCAGGAAAGACGGAACGATAGTGCCTGCACGAGAAGTGAAGCCACCGTGCAGTTGCAAGTTGAAGTGCTTCGAGAAGTACTCGAATGAAATTCGGCAAAAACTTCTTCGGAACCTCCTGCGGTTGAACTTTCATAGCCAAAATCAATTTTTGGCCAATCATATCATGGTTAAGCACACGGCTAGATCACAGGTACGTTGTGAGTGTGTGTGTGTGTTTTGGAAAATGGATGTGTACTTTTTAAAATTGTGAGCATTATGTTGCTTCACTCGCATACTGATTTTATACGCATATGTGTCCTATGGTTGATAATGATTGTATGAAACATGGCACATGTTTAAGGGCCTGTTAAGGCTCAGATGATTGTGTTATGTTAAATCAATTGAATAGTGGCTGCAATGTTTGTAAACAGTCTGTCCATAGTGGTGAAGTGCCCTAAAGTGCATTTGAGCTACTTCGTATACCGGTCTGCTAAAATTTGCTTATTATATTCTACAGGTGGTGAATTCAAGACGCACATATAGCCGGGTGTACCTGTTGCCTAGCATTAAAGGATCTACAAAAGTATGCAAGGTTATGTTTCAAGGGACATACGACATTGGGAGTAGAAAGATGCGCGTTCTAGCCGGGAAAATTGTTGCAGGATTGGGAATCGCTGCTGACGATGGTCGGCAAGAAAACAGTAGTCGCCAACATATTAGCCAGGATCACCTGAACTTTATCCAGAAACAAATTATGTCATTCCCTGCGTACTCCAGTCACTATTCTCGAGAGAAATCTAACAAATTGTATCTCTCCAGTGATTTAAATATTCGCCGCATATACGAAATGTATCAAAACAAATGTGCCACCGAAAATTTGATTCCTGTACACTACAACAGTTACCGGATGATTTTTAAGACCCAGAATCTCAGCTTTAGGAAACCGAAAGTCGATACATGTGGAAAGTGTGACCGGTTGACTGTTGAAATTAAGATAGAAACGAGTCCCACAAGAAAAAATGAACTACAGCTTTTGCTCGATAACCATCAAAACAGTGCCAAGAGAATCTACGACGAAAAAAAGAAGGATGTAAAATTGGCAAAAGCTGATTCATCCATAAGTACATCATCTTTTGACCTGCAAAAGCAGCTCCCAACTCCATTCCTGACTAACGGCGAAGCGTTTTACAGTAGGCAGTTGTACACCTACAACCTCACTATTTTTACTACGTATGTTGGTGAGAATTCTGCATATTGCTACTTATGGGACGAGACCAAAGCAAAAAGAGGGTCACAAAAAATCGGGTCTTGTCTTTTACAAGATCTTCGTAAGCTACCTGCTTCGGTAGAAACCGTCATCTATTACAGTGACCGGTGTTCTGGCCAGAATAATAACAAGACCATTATTTTTCTGTTCTCATACTTCATCGAGAAAATGGCGAAGCGAGGAAGAAAATTACATATTCTCCACAAATTTATGCTAAGTGGACACTCCCATATGGAGGTCGATACAGTCCATGGAGCCATAGAAAGGGCAAAGAAGAAAAACACAACTGATATTGAAATCCCTCATGATTGGGCAATCCTCATAAGCAGTATTCGCCGTCGAATCCCATTCAACGTAATTGAGTTGGAGCAAAACCAAATGTTGAATTTGAAATCATTAGACCAGAGGTATACAATACCAAAAAAGTCTCTTAAAGACAATCTGTTCCGCATGAGAAATACAATGGTATTTAGATATTCTACCGATTTTCCTGGATTTGTGGAGTTTAAAGAAGATGTTAGTGATGAACTATTTGACAGAATCCAAATTCTGTCAAATCCCACATGCGATATTTCAAGCGTGGATTTGAAACCAATTGCAGATCAACCACTTGAATTGCCAAGCGCAAAATTGGACGATCTTCGCAAACTGATGCCATATATCAAGCAAAAAGATTATTACGCGACATTCCTTAAATCTTTAGTTCCGGCAAAAAAGGGAAGAAGAGCAAAGAATACCGTTGTGGACCACTTTGAGGCAGATCTTGATCCACTGGAAGACAGCGATGTTGATTTGATAGAATAAAATGAATGAATGTAAAACATTGATTGAGCAGCTTGTGCTAATAAAAGTCAAAGCAAATAAAGTTGAATGAAATAGACAACAACAGTTTGTTTATTAAAATATATCCGAATAAATAAAAATGGAAATTTTTCATATCCTTACACTTTCTATGCATACATACTTAAATTTTTTCGCCGTGATTCCAACAGCCGAGTAGTTCTACAATTTATTTTGCTGAAATTCAGTAAAACAATTGCCGAGACTCAGTTAACAAATTAGATTTTGCTGAGATCTCATCGAACAAACATATATTTTGCAAACATATCAGCAAAAGTAAATGCCGAGGTAATCGGCTGTTGGAGATTTTACCGAGCTAGATGAAGTGTGTACATCAGCAAAAAAAAAACTCCACAAGTTCTTAATACAAACGTTATTTATTTAATAAAATCACAGATTAGCAGTTTTTAGCCCCTCAACAACTACTAATAATATTGAAGTTGTAACTATCCGACCTCCAAACCATATTCTTACCAAGGTCCTAAGTAACATTAATATTTACTATCAGACCAATGCGACAGGTCCTAACTGATACTGAAAAAAACCCAAGGTCCTATGTAACAAAACCACGAATTAAACCTGATAATTTTGAATAATAGGAAACAACAAACACTTCAGTCAAATTCTAAGTGTTTCATGTGCGTTTTAGAATACGAAAAGTCATCGTTTTATTACGTAATTAAAAATGACATTTAAAAACATACTGCAAAACTTCAAATTCATTTTTCTCCAATCAGCTTCAATGTCAGATAGGACCTTTTGAAATGTTTGTCTAGAATTCTGTGTTCATCGAAGAAAATGGAAGCAATGAGAATACGAACGAAATCAGTGCGTATCGCACAATCTACTACTCGTTTCTTATGTTGTATGCGTGTGCGTGAGTAGTAAATGCAAAATGAAACGATTTTTCCCATGCTTGATCACTGCAAGGATAGAAGCAGCTTTTCGAAGCATGAAATGCAACAAGGCTCCAGGGGTCTACCGCATATCAGCAGACATGCTCAAAACTAACCCCATGCTATCCGCATAAATCAATTTTTGTGTAATTTCTGGGCCACCGCTATCGCTATTAGTGTAGAATGTATCGACAACCAATTTAATTGTCAACTTGTCTGGTCTAGCTAGTAGATAAGATTGTTATTTTCTATAGGTTATCAGAGCACAGTTGATAACAAAATTGTAATAAATTAGTTCAACCAACCAAACCAACCATCCCAGATGTTTTGACCGATCAAAATCTTGAGTTTGTGTCGTTACTACTTTTTAGGTACAAGCAGACTATCGAGCGTCGGCTCATTCCAAGAAAATGTGACCTACCTTCTTGGTTGCGGTGACCATTGATTATTGTGGTTTGAGCTATCGTGAGATATGCATCCAATACTGCTACCACTACCATGACTATGTGCTGAAAAACCGTTATTGCTGCAAAAAAAAAACAAACAAAACAAAATCACAATCCGCATAAGACCATCCGACAAGACTGTACTTACCCATTCAATGAGTTTACGCTATCGTCGACGTTGCAACCGTGCGCACCGCCCGCACCGATCCTAGCATTTCCATTGCGGGTTGTGATTGCTATACTATTGCTTGCCCCACCGCTGGTCAATCCGATGCCGGTACTCACGCACGTCTGCGTATCGTGCGTCGATGAGCTTCTCCCGCTTGTGTAGCTAGACACCGAGTTCAACGAGACGCTGGATCCTCGGCTTTCACCGTCCAGCAACAGTGCATCGAGCATACTATCGCTATCGGTTCTAATCACGTCTATACTACTGCTACCGCTACTGTGTTGACTTCGGAATCTGCAAGTAAACATTGCTTTAAGCTTTTGTCCGCTTCACTAGTATGTTGCAGCTTGCCTGTGAGTTAAGACACTGTACTCCTCGTCAACGATGTATTTGAGTATGTAGAAACAGAAGTAGAATATGACTTCGCCCTTGTTCAGCCGGTCGGGTAAATTGTGGCCAAATAGCAGCCAATCGTACGCGATCGTAAAGTAGAGCATCTGAGCCGCATCCAACGACTGATGAATTGCACCATCCGCCCAAAGAGATATTCTCAACAGCGATACGAACAGCGGCGTTCGATCCCAACCGCTGATACAGTGGACCAATATGCCGGAACTGCTCTCCTGTAGATACTTGAGCAGCAATCGAAGATAGTTTTGAGTTATTTTCACAAGATCCCACTGTTTGTAGTTGTGCCAGTCAATATTCAACTGAGCCGTAACCGTGTCCTCGGGAACGCGAATTCCTGCGTCCACGTACGATTGGTTCCAATCGAATATCAGTCCCTCACCGTGACAGTTGTTATCGCGGTACTCCCGGAAGAATTCGCAACCAGGATAAGGCAGTGCAAGTATCTTAAAGAAGCTGTACCGATTTTCTTTGTCCACTTTCTCCGATGAGGTAACGTTCAGCCAGAACTTAACTTTCTTATTCTCCACCATAAAATCGATGATGGTTCCTACGTTGAGTGCTTTCAGCAGACGGATGTCTTTCCTGCGCAACCGCCCAAATAGTGGCCAATCTTTGGATTCCGGTTCGTCCGACGAAGATTCTTCCTGTGCTTCGTAGGCTTCGTCTGGTTCAGGATCGGAAATGGAATCTATTACAAAAGATCGTAGCATTCTATTTCCCAACTCACCTCCAGGTTCCGGTAACGTAGCTTCCGCTGCGTATGCAAAGTACTCCAATCCGGACCGACCGTAGATCTCCGGTCCACCGGATAGCGTTGCCGATCGGCAGACATATTTCCCATTGTACAGGATAACCGGCAGTGGAAACCGAGCCCGGCACCGTGCTAGTCGCGCCCGCAATATCAAGTACCGTAACCGCTGCGCGTCCAGCTTGCCATCGACGATCACCTGATCGCGGTTTGGCGGCGAACATCTGGCATCGGAGCCCTCTCCATTGCGAGCGTTGGTAGTGACGTCGCCTGGATTGTACTCGCCGTACGTATCGGTTACGTTTGTCCCGAGGGGATAAGTCTTTTTCACTTCCTGCTCGGGGATCAGCAGTTTGACCGGGTAGTGTGCCGAGAGTTCACCGTTCGGATTCGGGATGTCGACTACGCTGTAGTCCATTCGCATCAGCACACTGCATCGATGCACGATTTCATCGCCCTGGAGAAGTGTAAAACGAAGGGAGGAATATGTGTTAATTACTATTGTTATTTTTCAGTATATTAGACAGCACGAGTTGACCCAGATTGGGAGCGAATGTTGTGAAACTAGTAAAATACGGCAGACTACAGTGGGATCGTAACGTAACGCGTATGTCGGAAAAAAAAAGCAAATGCTTGTCATAATGGCCATCGTCACTAGAAGATCAAGCGTCGACCTAAATTCAATGCGGTACTTTTATAAGGTCTCCGACCTTCGCTTAACATACTGTGAAACATGTTTTGAAGAACTCTTGGGAATCCTCATTTTGTTTCAAGACCTTCGAACTTCGTCTAGATGAGTTTATACAGCATACAATTTAAAATATAATATCTCCTGGAAGGCCTCTACCAGCAAATACAGATTAGCAATTTACCGCCTTTTCTCGAGATTTTGGCAATTTTCTCGGTAAATCTAAATCTATATATGTGTGTGTGTGTCTGTGTGTGTTTTTTTTAGTAAGGTTTACACGGATAGAAATCTCCTTATACCTTTTGGAAAATTTCCATTGCTGATTATTCATAAAATCTAGATAGAGCTGGAATTAGGGCGTAACAGCTTTAGTAAACAATGACTTCTCTCGATGATTTCTAGAAAGCCAAGGCTCGCTCACTCAAATCCACGTCATTATCGGATAGGGGAAGTCTTGGTTATGTTAATTTGCGTAGGTGTGCCTTGAGTTTCGAGAAATCATCGAAAGTCATTGTTTACAAAAGCTGTTACGCCCTAATTCCAGCTCTATCAAGAAATGCATAAGTCAACTAATAAGCAGACGCGTTGCAAAAAGTTAATGAAGATCATGTGTCAAATGAAATGTATAAGCGGTCACACATACCTTTTATGCATTCTTATAGGACCTATGTGGTTTGTCTTATCAGTCTTATGGAATGTATAAGGCTGATGTTTTGGCAAAAATGTATAAGTAAAACACATGAATAAAATAACTGATTTTCGTTTCGTGTAGGAAAGCTTCAAGAAGCCTGGCCTGTAATGAAATTGGCACGGTGTGGTATCCACTAGTTCCCTAGTGCAGCTCCACTAAAACCCATTCCTTACTCTCTCCTCTGCCTGGATTCCCGAGGGACCACTGTGAAGCGACTACTTCGGGGGGTGCACTTGTCGTACTCTCAGCGCTAGCTGGCATTGCTAGATCGCTGCTCTTCTCTCCATTTACGCTGCAGCTCCGAAATAATCTGCGTGACTGCCCTGTTGACGGCATTCTAAGTGCCCGTCTCTCGACACATTTCAACGACGACATTCTCCACGTTAAGGACGGGCATCACCCTTCGCACTGCCTCGAACCTTGGACAGTCGAATACCACATGCTCCGGCGTTTCATCGATGTTGCCACACTCCCGACAGCACGCCGTTGTACATCCCGTTCCAGAGCGCTGGACCAAGGATGGAGCCTTGTGGAACTCCCGCTGTGATCCTAATCGATCTCTGTCCCATGTCTGTCTCGTAAACCAGAACCCGGTTCTGGAAATAACTCCTGAGGATCCTGCATAGGTAGTCAGGGACCCTCATTCTATACAGTGCATCGGCGATGGCCTCCCAGCTGTTGAACGCATTCTTGACGTCGATCGTTATCACGGCGCAATATCGATCTCCTCTCCGCTTCTGTTTGGACGCCTTCTCAGCTCTGTCGACCACTGTCATTTTGTCAGCCTGTTTAGGATGATCCTCTCCAAGAGTTTTCCGAGTGTATCCAGCAGGCACGATGCTGGATCCCCCGGCGGTTTTCCTTGTTTCGGCAGCAACACTAGCTTCTATATTTTCCACCTGTCAGGGAAGTGACCCTCGTCGAGGCATTTCTGCAGCACCATCCTGAACATGTCCGGGGATGCCTGGATCGCCGCTTTCAACGCTACGTTGGGGATTCCATCCGGACCGGGAGCTTTCTTCACCTTCAATCCTTTCGCCACTGCTACGAGTTCTTCGTTGGTGACTTCGACGTTATCTCCCGCTCCTTCTTCGTACGGTGTAGGTGGCCAGGTCGTTGGGTCGTGCTTCGGGAAAAGTCCTTCCACGGTTATTTTCAGCTTCTCTGGGCAAATTTCAGCGGGCATCGTTGGACCTCTGATCTTCGCTATGACTCGGTATGCGTCGCCCCAGGGGTTGGCATCAACGTCTCGACACAGCTCCTTAAAACAGTTGAACTTGCTCTGCCTTATCTCTTGTTTAAGTGCGGCCCTGGCCGCTCGAAACTCTCCTCTTCGTTCCTCTCTGTCTGCTTCAGTTCTTGCTTTCTGAACCCGTCTTCTGGCTCTGAGACAACTAGCGCGGGGGGTGCTATGTGCCTCGTTCTACCAGTAATCTGGACGCCGTCTGTTATTTGGCGCGAGTTTCCTCGGCATTTTCGTGTCACTAACTCGGCATGTGACTCTAACTAACGTTTCTGTCAGCTCGTCCAGAACCACGGGGCTCCTGTCCACACGGACTGCCTTAACGAAAAGATCCTTCTCGAAATCCTGCGTCTTCCACTTCCGGTTACAAGTTCTCGTCCTCCGTACTGCCACAGTATTCCATTGGCCGATGCCATATCGTATCGTCTGATGGTCGCTATGGGTATATCCTTCACATACTCTCTAATCCATGTTTGTCACCAGCGACGGACTGCAGAAAGTAACGTCGATAATGGATTCCCGACCATCTCTGCGAAAAGTGCTGCTGGTGCCTTCGTTGACCAGCATAACTTCTAGTTTTGCCAGAGCTTCCAGCAGACTGTGCCCTCTTGTTCCATCTTCTTCCCCATTCCACTGCCCAAGCCCAAGTCTCCTTCGATGACTATCGGTCGTTGTCCAATCAGCTCTTCGGTAAGCCCATGCAGCATCTCACGGAACTGCTCCATCGTCCATCTGGGGGGTGCGTAACAACTACATATGAAGATTCCGTTAATTTTGACGATCACGAAACCTTCGTATGAGCTCGCAACCACTTCTTGAATAGGGTATCTACCCATAACTTGTATAGCAGCCATCCCAGCTCTATCCGCCACCCAGTTACCGTTATCTGGAGGGACTCGATACGGTTCCGCAATGATTGCAACGTCGAACTTTGTTTCTGTTGTCGACTGCGACAGTTGCTGACCAGTGTCGCAATGATTGAGGTTTATTTGGGTTACCTCCATTACTGTTGGCCTGCCATCGCCTTTTTATATGCTAGGCATTTGAAGCCTCCCGTCGTATGATCTTTTCCGTCATTATCTAAGAGCCATCTCATCTTTATCTCTTTGATTGCTGCATGGAAGGTGTATTGGTCACCAAAATTACACTGGCGACCAGACTCAATGCCCCAATGTCGTCGTTTAAAGCCAATTATACATTTGGCTCATGAGCCCTTTTCATATGTTGCTCTAGAATTCTGAGATGAACACTCCAAATGTTAAAAATTTACATAAAATTATAAGAAAATTCGCGAGAATTATTAAGAATACCAAGATTGAATTGATTGAATTCTAAGAATTTCCTAGAAGGGTTTCCAAAAGTGGTAGGGTAGAGAACTACTTCGACATAATCGCCCATTTTGGGCCTATCAAGCAGTAAACTTCAAATAAATCCATGATTTCGGCGTTAACAAGTCAATTATGCGTTTGGTACTATACTTTAGTTAATAAGCTACCGAACGAAGTCAATGAGATCGCGTGCTATGAAGGTTTGCACCCATAAGAGCAAATTTTCATTACGTCGAATGTAACATAGGTAAACAAAGTCGAGCTATCAGTGTCAATCGATGCTCCTGCTATTACACTATATACTATATATATATATAGAAGTTTGTTTTGATAGTAACACTGCTCATTCGCAGCCGGTTTCTGTTTGTTTTAGTCCATTCAAAGTCACTTCACTGAAGTTATTCGTGTACCTCTGTAAACTCTAGTTTTGTGAATTTACGTGGAAAGTGGAAATCAGTTGATTCGTGTTGACTTTATTTAGTTTTACCGTATATTTGGTGTTGTGAAATTGCCAGTCATCCATAGAATTTTCTGTTTGTTGTGCTAGTGGTGTTGCAAAAACCACCTTTCGATCGTTCGTCTAACATTCGACGCGCCACCTACATCTGGATTTAGTAATCTGCTTATTGGGCATTTTACGCGTATAGGGCATTAATTCCGTTCAACGAAATGACCAGTACAAGTGCGTGCGACCGCTGTGCCAAAACAGTGAAACCGGACGAAGACCACATCGAATGTATGGGGTTCTGCGACCAAGTGTATCATGTGAGATGCATTAATTTGAACTTGCCGTTCGTCAGGATTCTTCGTGAGAAAATCAATTTGTTCTGGATGTGTGATGAATGTAGCAAGTTGATGAAGTACGCCCGATTCAGAAACACTGTTTCATCCCTCGGTAACGTAATTTCGACGGTGATAGGTAGTCAGCTGACCGGCTTATCCGAGCTGAAAACCGAAATGGCCAAAAACAACAATCAGGTCGCTCAACTCACTCACATAGTTAATGCTGCTACCCCAGGTACATCTGCTAGACCGAATCATGATCGCCCCTCAAAACGCCGTCGAGGTGATACGGAAACACCGACTAAACCGACTACTGGAACAAGAGTCATTGGAACTAGCGATACGCTCGCTGTAAATGCTCCATCAAGCCTGTTTTGGGTTTACCTTTCCCGGTTTCACCCCAGTGTTAAGAGAGATGTGGTTGAGAAACTTGTTCGTGATGGACTGCGAACGACTGAACCAGTTAAAGTCGTCTCTTTAGTGAAAAAAGGCACCGACCCACTATCGATGAACTTCATCTCCTACAAGGTCGGCATTCCAATGAAACTAAGAGAGAACGCTTTGAACCCTGAAACTTGGCCACAGGGGATTGTATACAGAGAATTCGAGGATACTCAGGCGAAAAACAATGTGTGGCTACCTCCTGATATCCAAGCACTCCCTGCTGTTCCAGAGACTATTCCGGGTGGCTCTCCAACGGGCACACCGTTTGGGACACCAGCAC